GCAATGAATGAACTAACTAGCAATCAAGACTCAAACAGACTCAATTCAAACAGACGGATCATGCTTCGAAATCTAAACTACAATAGGAAGAAATCTATACTGGTACGGGAGTTACGGATTAGACCCTCACCTTTGCCACGAGTTCTGAAGAAAACCTGAGAAAACACTGAATGACCTTGATGGCTCTAGAAACAGCAACACCGGAACTCTCGTTATCTTTTCGATCCCTCCGGTCACAATATAGTCCTAATCGTCCTCTGCTTGTAGCCACCGAGTTTACACCGATCAGACACCGTTTGCTTACTAAACTAGCCTCGCCTCCAAGTTGATCGCAACGCAGACAATTTACAGACTGAAATCTTTCGTTTAGATTGACCGTTTAGCCTTTACGCTGAGACTGCTCGAAACTGCCTCTTTGTTTCACGATCGGAAAGATGATCTAGAAATCTGACATCGAGATCTTTCCAATGATATCTCGCTCGTTTCCTAGTTCAATCTGGATCAACGGGAAAATACTGATGAAGATGACTGCTGGTAGATCCGATCTCAAAATTTGGCTTCGAAATTTTTCTTTTTGATTAGTCGTTACTCTGTTCTCTCAAAACGTGTCTTCTGAACCTTAATCTCTCTTTAAATATGAAGAGTTTAGGGTTTTCTGCCACACTACTGGGCTTAACCGGGCCGAAATAATTGTACCGGGTTTTGGGTCGTTACAGTGACATCCGCAATACAATAACTGCCAAAAGATATAGGATGCAATTCTCTTATATCTATTTGGTTAAGATAGTTGACACAAGCAAATCCAATTCTTGGCCCACTTTGTTTTTTATTCTTTTTTGCCAAAGTGGTTCTTTCTTTAGATTACTCTCTTGTAAATCTAACTCTTCCATTTTGTGAATATTTACCTTCTTAGCAAAAACATAATAAATATGAATATAATGTGGTGACTGGTGGAGCCTATTGAGACGTATCATTATTGTTTTTTTTTTTTGGATAAAGGGCATACATATCGAATTGTTCCCATCTCATAACAGACTCAACATATCTAGTTGCAATGGTAAGTTGTTAATTCATACAACGTCCAACTTAGAGGATGTTCAATGCAATAACCTAAATGGACTCTTAACCAATATTTTAATATTAAAAGTAAGTTAAAAGTTTATGTTAAAAACCACCTAATTTTTAGTCCTCCAATGTTAGGTTTTTAAGTTAAGGGTTCTTAAAAAAATTTTCTTAACACATTTATCACCCTAAACCATAACATATACTCCCTCCGTTTCATATTAAGTGTCGTTATAGAGAATTTTTTGCGTTACAAAATAAGTGTCGTTTTCGGTTTTCAATGCAAAATTTATTAATTTTATTATGTAATTTGTTTTTCTATTGGTTAAAATATGGTTAGGTGTATGGGTAACTATGTTTTTATATAGGAAATATGTAAAATTAATTGTTTTCTTAATCCGTGTGCACAGTTGTAGAGTGACACTTATAATGAAACAGAGGGAGTATTTATTATTAACACAACCCTAAACCATAACATCTACCCCCTCTGTTTCAAAAAGTTGAATGTTTTAGTTTTTTTAGAATAAAACATAGGTTCACTCCATAGGGTGAACCTCTAAATTCACCTCACCTTTTGATATCAATCAAAATGCCACGTAGATAATTAACTAAAGTAATATGAAATTCAAAAAGCTAAAAAAAAAAACATTAATCTTAACAACTTTAATGCTGGTAACTAAACCCTAAAGCCTAATTCTTAAATTTTAAACCCTAGACCTTAAATCCTAAACCCAAACTCTAGACCATAAACCCAAATCCTATACCATAAACCTAATCCTAAACGTCTAACCTGAAAATCAAAGCATCAAAGCCTCTAATTCTATTTGCCATCTCATAGAACAAAACTAAACACAAAATCTGCAAAGCTATCGAATTGTGAAAACATGAACACCAATCTCATTAGAAACACAATCAGCATATGAAACTTACATCAGAAACAACTACAGAGTAAGCACAAACAATATTCGAAACTCAAAACCAGAGCAAAGAATATTCTTAAGCGTATAAGACCTTTCTTACAAAGAGGAAACATCATCAGGTTATGTACCTGGTGATCACAGTTACAGCAAGCGTAGAGAAGATTGCTCCTTGTCTTCCTTAGGGTATAATATGTTATTACTGCCAAATTTCCAAAAAGAGAAAAACATAGAATCAAACTGAAGGGGGAAAAGATTGGAGCTTTACTCAAATTGACAACACATACACAAAACCCATCACTGCTAAACTTAAGAGGGAACTACCAAAACGGATTCAGACAAAACTAAAGATTTTTTGAGTTTGACACTATCCCAGAGATCAAAGCAAGTTATCTTGAACAAAATCATCGCTTTTGATACAATCCCAAATGTAAAAACATAACCAGTAAACAATCCACAACCAAACAGTGACAAAATCTGATAGGTTTTAGCTATCGAGAACTCAGTAAACTCTGTAATCAAACTCTGTATTTAAAAGTAAGTGTTTACAGCTTTGTAGAAGAAATCAACTAAGCTCTCATGACGAACTTAGAAGAGATCTACAGTCTCATAACGACTGAGAAGTTATGACTCATAACGTCAATAACAAACTACAACAAAGCATAAACCGTAAAATGAATCTCTCCTCTCTTATTTATACTAATACTCCTGTAACGGCAAAGCCTCCGCTTCCCATAGAGTCTTCCAAGTTACTTCCATATTACTCCATCGACTTCAAACCTTCCTTTCCCTCCAGAGTATTCAAACGCTCCTCATCTTCTTTCAACTCCAACACTTTAGACTTTCCCTCTTTCTTCCTCTTCCTATAATAAGCTTGATGAAACCTATCAAAATCTCAACATCTATGTCGGTAAATCCATAGATTCATGAAATCAAAAATAAATACAAAATTGCAGAGCTTTACCTTTGATTAAACTCAGCATGCAACCGACGATTCTCTTCGTGGAGGAGAGCCACAGATTTTCTCTGACGAGGAAAGCCACCGTCATCCTCCGTCGCTGAGAGGCACTGAGATTCTTCTTCGAGGAGAGGGACCGCGATTCTTCCTCGAGGAGAGGGACGGTGATTCTTCCTCAACGAAACCCACTGACGAGATTCTTCGACGAGGCGAGGACCGAGAGACTTCGTCGACAAGACCACTAAGAGACATCGTCGATCGTCGAGGGGAGAAGCGAGAGACTTCTTCGCCTTCACCTTTTCTTCTCCTCTGAAAATCACAAATGCAATACAATGCCTATACGTGTCTAGGAAGAGTCGACTCTTCCACGGCTTAATTAAGAATCATCCTAAAGTTATTACCATTTTTTCTTCTTTTTTTAATTATAATTTAACCTAAGCAACCCACTTAAGGACTTGCAATGAACATGTTGTTATGCAACATCATATATATTTATTACTAGGTGATTTTCCCGTGCTCATGCACGGGTATAAATATTTATAAAATAAATATATTATAAAAATTTATTGCTATTTACTTTAATTGTAAGTTAATTTATAATTTATATTATAGTACTTTAACAGATGATTTTAGATATGTTATATCTAATTGGTTTTCTTATTTTTACAATCGATTTAGTTATCATATGAATTTATTGGATTGTATCTATTTTTCTAAATTCAACTACAATTTTTTTTTATTCTAAATATACTCCCTCCGTTTCATATTAAGTGTCGTTGTAGAGAATTTTTTGCGTTACAAAATAAGTGTCGTTTTCGGCTTTCAATGCAAAATTTATTAATTTTATTATGTATTTTTTTTTTCTATTGGTTAAAATATGGTTAGGTGTATGGGTAATTGTGTTTTTATATTGGAAATATGTAAAATTAATTGTTTCCTTAATCCGTGTGCACAGCTGTAGAGTGACACTTATAACGAAACAGAGGGAGTATTAAATTTTGATTAATTTTCTTATTTGTATTTAGGTTAGTTGTTGTGTTAGATACATAAAGATATTTTAGGTTAGTTGTTGGTGTTAGATACGTAAATATAAACTAAAGTGACTCATTCTAAATTACATAAATTATTCTGAAGTCTCATGCATGTATATAAATTTTACAAAATAACTGATTGCAACAGTTGGTTAATATTTTATTTTCATTTGTTAATATGTCTTGAGTCATCCTATAATTTATATTTATAAAATAAATTATTATTATTATTATTATTATTATTATTATTATTATTATTATAAAGCTATATATTCTTATTGTAGTTAAATTTATGATTTTAGATATAAGTTGAATTAGGTGATTTTCCCGTGTTCATGCACAAATATAAAATCAACAACATAAATAAATCATACTAATTGATTACAAATTTGTTTTATAATCTATATGTAGATCTTGTATAAATAATATCATGTTGTTTTAATCTGACATGTGATTTAAGATATGCAGTATCTAACTGATTTAATTATTATTTGGATATATTATATTGCATTTGTTTTTGGTTGATATTACTATAATTATTCTTATATATAAAAAATATAATTTAAAATACATCTATATTTATTTCAACTAAACCAAATAAGATCAGTTTTATTTAATGTGGAAGTTTCGTTCTTTATCTAGAATGTGTAAATATATTTTCATTTTTTTGTATATGACAACATAAAAGAACATGACCGATATATTTTTAAAAATTATTTATATTTTAATTTATAAAATATAAATTAAAAACTATATTAATAATTTTAAACATAAGAATTCAGATTAGTTTGGGAATTCAGATTATAAAAGAGACACTGGTTGTTAAATATATAATTTAAAACTTAAAATCAACTAAAGATTAAGAAAAAAGAAGTAAAGTAAATATATATAGTTCGCTAAAAATATATTGTCTTATAATATTTAAAATATTTCTGTAATTATTTAATTAAATTATTTTTATTAAGATAGAATTATAAAAAAAGTAGTTACATTTTCTAATAATGTTATCTTGCTTAAGATTATTTTTAAAGTATGTTGTTTAGTATTTTAAATAAATACCAAATTTTTGTAGATTTTCTTTATATAAGAAAAATATTAATTTACTTTTACTTTCTAAAAATAAATAATCAAACGTTTTTTATATTTAATTTTTTGAAATCATTTATATAATAATAGATAAATATACTTTAGATAAGTTGAGATATTTTTAATTTATGTAGTCGTATAAAAAATACAAAGAAATTTTCAATCAAATTTATGTTAACAAATTATTATGCAAAACATATGTAAAACACTTAGTAATATTAGTTTTAAAATAATTTTAGTTCATATAGAAACTTCAATTTATGTTATGTTATCTAAGTTAGTTTTGATCATCTGAAAATATAGCTTGATGTAAAAAAAATATTATTATTACTTTAAAAATATATATTATGTTATTTAAGATTATGTATTAAAAGGAATATATTTCTAATATTAAGATGTTTATTGTGAACTTTCCTTTTTTTATGAAATCAAATTATATATATGTGATATATTTTCATTTTAAAATTTTACTTTTTTTCCTTTAATAAAACTTTTATTTTTATGTTTCCTTTTTTTTATGAAATCAACTTATTTATTATACATATTTCGTTTTTAAAATTTATAGTTCATTAATTAATGTTTAATTTATATAATAATATATAAGTATACTTTAGATAAGTTGAGATATTTTTAATTTATGTAGTCTAATAAAAAATACAAAGAAATTTTCAATCAAATTTATGTTAACAAATTATTATGCAAAACATATGTAAAACACTTAGTAATATTAGTTTTAAAATAATTTTAGTTCATAAAGAAACTTCAATTTATGTTATGTTATCTAAGTTAGTTTTGATCATCTGAAAATATAGCTTGATGTAAAAAAAATATTATTATTACTTTAAAAATATATATTATGTTATTTAAGATTATGTATTAAAAGGAATATATTTCAAATATTAAGATGTCTATTGTGAACTTTCCTTTTTTTATGAAATCAAATTATATATGTGACATATTTTCGTTTTAAAAATTTACTTTTTTTCCTTTAATAAAACTTTTATTGTTAAGTTTCCTTTTTTTTTATGAAATCAACTTATTTATTATACATATTTCGTTTTTTTAATTTATAGTTCATTAATTAATGTTTACTTTTATTATATATATTATTTGAAAATAAAATAAAGAAAAGATAAGATAAATTAAAATAAATAAAATTTTAATAATAATAGAAATTATATATATAATATTTTAGTTCATTACGGGAATCTATGTAATCAACCATTGTGAAAGTTAACGTGAGCGCGACACATAGGAAACTGACTTCTCAAATAATATTATAGAGATTAGAAGCCAACTCGCAGAATTATAATTATCACTAGATTTTGACCCGCACATTCGTGCGGATAACCTTCATTTTATAAATATAAAAAATATATTATTTTTATATAATCATTTTATATAATATATTGCTATAATTTTTAAATAGATAATATAGAGTTGTATATATATTATCTAACATATGGTAACAATTTTATTTTTGTAAATTTTTTTACATAATTTAGGAATTTAATTCTTTTAAAAGGTGAATGATATTTTATTTATTAATTTAAATGAAAGTATTTTTTTTCAAAATATATTAGTTTACCAATTTAATATAAATTTTATATGTAATTCATCTATTACATCTATTTTAATATAATATAGACTATACTTATAATATTTATAAAATTAGCATTTAATAATATTATATTTTAATAGTACAATTTTAATTAAATTAAATTTATAATAATACTATACTACTAATTACGACATTATTTAGTGAACTAAATAAAAAAGATTTTGATTAAAAAAAAAGATTTTATTAGATTTTTTCTCAACAGATTTTGTTATTGCTAAAACTAAAATTTAAATTTACAGTTAAATAGATTTGTTATTAATATATTTATAGTTATTTAAAAAAAATTATACATTAAATGAAATAATGTAAATAATTAAAAATGTAACTGACTATATGGTCCTAGTATGACTATTTTATAGTGGATAAAAATGATACTTCTCTTTTAATAAAGAAAACTAGATTTTGATCCGCGCTTTCAAAACGCGGGTTTATGTTTGATGCAAATTTTATATAATTGCATTTCCTATACATGTAGAAATGTGGGATAAACTTGCTTAGTTATTTAATTTCATCAAACATAGTCTTTTTAAAAATACAGGATAATCGTTCGGTGAAAATTTTATATGACCGCAATTTTGTTTTATATAAAGTAGACATGTGTATGAAATCCATAACTCGACGTCTAAACTCAATCTAAACAAAAAAAAAAATTGTATCCGTAACCGGTCAAAAATCTAAAATATACCAGAATAAGTTTTGTAGGGTGGTACAAAATATATCCAAATCAAAGTATTATTAGCCAGACCCAAACGAATAACCCAAAAACCAAAAAATCTGGAAAAAAATCTGAATCGATTTGAATGTCAAAATTAATCATAAATATAAATATTTGAAACATAAATATCTAGTTTAAATATTCAGTTCTAGATTTATTTTAAAATGATGTTTAAAATTAATTATCTAAATATTAAATTCTAGAAAAATAAGTATCTTTCTTTTGTTTTGGTTTTAGATTTTAGAATGTCTACAAATTCGAACCAAACCCGACATGTTATATTTGAATCTGATCCATACTTACAAACATGTCTACTTACATATTATGACACTTATGATGTGATATAAATTAGCTTTGATTCAAAATATTCGACCCGTATCCAATATGTACTTAAATTCTCAAGCATAACTTATATTATGTTTTATATTTTGTTAACTTAATTTTATATTTAATAAACATTTTGTTTATTTATTAGAATAACCCTTAAATTTATAATCATAAAAATATCAGTAATAACATGTTTCATCATATAATTAAATATTAATAGTAGCTATTCTTAATATTTATTTTATAAAAAATCTATATATATAAATGATTTTTTGACTTTATCTATGATAACTATATTATTATGTATTGGTGGAAGTTTGAAAAGAATTGTTTATTATTACTTTGTGTAACAATTACATATAATTGTGTTAATTTTTTATATCCTAAAGTTTTAATTTAGATATGTATATTAAAATATAAAATTATTTCATTTTTTAATATCTTATCCTAGTATTTTGTTATGTTGTAAATTTAATTAATCTAGTTTATAATTAATAAAGTTGATTAATTTATATTATAATTATTATTTTGTGTAATTTTTAGTTACAAATATGAAATATATATATAAATGTTATAGAAAGTTAGTTCTTATTCTATAAATCAATATGAGTTAATACACATTTATAATTTAATTTAATATTATTTAGTTTTTTATTATTAAAATAATATTAAAACAATAAGTATTTATTTTTAAAATAAAAATATATTAAAGATATTTTTAAAATGTAATCTGAGAAAAATTAGTTAAGAGTATCTTTTTGATATCCTATTTTGAATATATTTAAATATTATATTAATATTATGTTATTATTTAATAATACCTAAGTTTGTTATATGTAACATAACACAAAATTAAATAAATGTAATGTCTTGAGGTAGACTACTTGCAAGTAGATAAAAAATTCTTCTGTTTTAGGTTTGATGCAAACTTTATATAATATCATTTTCTATATATGTAGAAATGGGATAGACTTGTTTAATTCATTAATTTCATCAAACGTAGTATTTTTAAAAAATGCAGGATAATCTTTCAATGAAAATTTTATATGACTCATTTTTGTTTTATATAAAGTAGACATATGCATAAAATCCATAACTCGACGTCTAAACTCAATCTAAACAAAAAAAATTTGGATCTGTAACCGATCAAAAATCTAAATATATCAGAATGAGTTTTGTAGGTGGTACAAAATATATCCAAATCAAAGTGTTATTAGCGAGACCCTAACGAATAATCCATAAACCAAAAAATCTGGAAAACATCTGAATCAATCTAAATGTCCAAATTAATCATGAATATAAATATTTGAAACATAAATATCTAGTTTAAATATTGAGTTCTATATTTATTTTAAAATGATATTTTAAAATTAATTATCTAAATTTTAAATAAGTACTTTAATCTCCAATTCTAAAAAATAAGTATCTTTTTTGTTTTGGTTTTAGATTTTAGATTTCCAAACCAATATAACCTGAATCCGAACAATATATGGTTACTTTATTTGTTTTAGGATGTGTACAAATTAGAACCAAATCCGACGTGTTATATTTGAATCTGATCCATACTTACAAACACGCCTACTTACAAATTATGACAACTATGATGTGATATAAATTAGCTTTGATTCAAAATATTATATCCGTATCCCAATAGGTACTTGAACTCCTAAGCTTCACTTTAATTATGTTTTAATTTTTTTTTATTAGTTTTATATTTGATAAATATTTTGTCTGTTTATTGGAATAACCCGTAAAATGATAATCATAAAAATATCAGTAATTACATGTTTCATCATATAATTAGACATTAGTAATAGCTATTATTAATATTTATTTTATAAAAAATTATATATATATAAACGATTTTAAGAATTTATCTATGATAATTATATTATTATGTATTGACGGAGGTTTTAAAAATTTGTTTATTATTATTTCTTGTATCAGTTACATAAAGTTAAATATTAATTTTTTATATCCTAATGTTTTAATTTAGATATGTATATTAAATATATATAATTATTTCTTTTTAAAATATCTTATGGTAGTATTTTGTTATTCTTTAATTGTAATTCATTTAGTTTGTAATTTATAAAGTAGATTAATTTATACTATAATTATTAATATTATGTTGTTATTTAATAATAACAAAGTTTGTTATATGTAACATAACACAAAATTAAATAAATGTAATACTTTGAGGTAGACTACTTTCAAGTAGATACAAAGTGCTTCTGTTTTAATAGTATTGACTAGATTTTGACCCGCGCTTAAAAGCGCGAAATTTTTTATGATTAAAATTTATATAATTGGGTTTTCTCTTAATTTAAAGAATCTTTTGGTATAAAATTAGTTTACCAAAATTTGTGGTGATAGTTGTTTTTCATTAGTTTTAGTTTCAGTTTTTATTTTTAGATTTTATTTTAAATTTTGGTTTTTGATTTTTAATTTTTAAGTTTCTATTTTTGATTTTCAGCTTTTGGTTTGATTTTTTAATTTTTAGACCCGCTGAGTTAGTTTGAACTGATATTACCAACACACAAATCTCAATTAATCGAACATGTAATTTAAAACTAAAAAGATGACAAAATAATTTTCTAAAATTTTTGAAATACTTTATTTTGTAAATAATATATATATATATATAACCTGCGTTTTCAGCTTTTGGTTTTGGATTTTAGTTTTTAGATTTGGTTTTTGGTTTTGCTTTACATTTTTTTTTTAAATCTGTAAATTATTTAAGAAAAATAAAACAATAAACTATTTAAAAGTTACCATTAAAATTTATCAAGATGGAGTGATTGTTATTTAAAATAAAAAATATTAATATGTTTTAAAGTACATGATTTAAATAAGTGATTAATAATAGATAATTTTGTTTTGTTGAAAATATTAAATATTTTTGTGCCTAAAAATAGTAATTGATTTTTGATCCATTAAGGTGGAAAGTTTATTTAATGTTTTTGGAGTTTTTCTTTAATACTAAGCCCAAAAACCAAACAATTAAATGTCATAAAAACAAAAGTAAGCCCAAAACGCTATTTCATAAATAACTGCCGGTTTAATTTAAGTAATGTGGTTTAATCAACTATATAACTTGTATTATTTGTACTACTCTAGAAATGGTCCAAATTTAAATGACAACTTGTATCACTAGATAAAAAGAATGACTCTATTTTAATAGAATAGATGTAGCTGTAACAACTAGTAACGTTAAATTTGTTTTTTGGCACGATAGTAACGTTAGTTTAGTGTTTGTATTAGAGTTTTTTTTCACTTGTAAGCATTCATGTGAGTTTAGTGCGGACGTAAAACATATTTTAAACTAGTCAAATAAATATATAACTGTAAAGAAAGGTTAATATCATTTGCTAATAATTTGTTGATATAAACTAGAAGTTAAGCTCAAGACTTGGTTTTGATGCGTTAAGCAGAAAGCTATATTTCAAGTATTCGTAGGTGACGGGTTTGGACCACAAAAGAGACTAGAATCCGAGTCAGATCCTCTTTATATTCTTTTCCAATCCGAGCCAAAACTCCTTTCAGCTAAAAAAAAGTTAACTAAAACAAATTGATGATAAAATGCGCAGTAGTCGATTAGAAGTTAGAACGTACGGTATAATGTAAGAACAAGTTTTTAAACTGATAACTAGAAGAAAAAATTAGATATTGACGTACGCTGATATCGGCGGGAATGCGATGGCCCCAGAAGACAAGGACTAAACAATGTAGGCCCATAAGATAAGGAATCAAAATCGACTTGTGATAAAGTTTAGACCTACATAAAGAAAGATACCCTAGAGGCTCGGGATAATCCCCCTTTCCCGAATGGTGGGTGTCACTGCACGGCAAATGATGTATTGTGTATAAATGGGCCGTGAAAACGAGTCATCTAGATGGGCCCAGCTTATTCATTGCCTGCTAGTGTCTTGTGTGTTTGTACCAAAAACGGTGCACTGACTGCAATGCTTTGACAATTTTAGAAAAAAGGTTTCTAACACGACAAACTTTTTGTTGGGTTCTAAATATAGTCTGAAAATATTGCTATGTTTAAAAATAACAATGTACTAGTGTTATTCTACAGCAAATTATAACTTTGCGTTAGATACAATGGGACTCTGTGATTTTTGAGCTAAATAATTAAACTTCTTGAGACACGTCCTACTGCATAAAATGGGTTTGGTACGTTACACAGCAATCTAGCCCAATAAGGGCCCGTAGTGCAGCCCACATAAGGTAGTCTAAGAGGCGCTATAAACGGCTAGTGATGAGATTGAGCAAGAGGAACCATACTGTTTTTTTTTTGGGAAAATTCCTTAAAAATACACAGACTGAAATTCTTTTGCTAAAAAAATACACAAATTTTTTAGACTTCCCGAAAAATACACAGACTAATTTTGGTTGTCTATAAAATACATGAACTTTTGAATTTTGTAGGTTTCACACCTCAATTTTAACGACGTTAACTCTGATTAACAGAACATTTAGACGCCGTTAGACGACGTTAACTTTGATTCAAAAGTCCATGTATTTTATGGACAACCAAAATTAGTCTGTGTATTTTTTGGGAAACCCAAAAAGTTCGTGAATTTTTCGAGCAAAGAAAATTTAGTATGTGTAACTTTAAGGAAATTTCAAAATATACTAAGGTGACAAAGACATTGTTTTTATTGTTTGAATGAAAAATGTAATTTTGAATATATTTTGTTCATGTTGAGGCCGGTTCTTTTAGGGTTGATTCGGGTCTTTAATCAAAATACGTATAAAATACCGGTAATTTTCGGATATGAATCTTGTGATAGAGATTGTGTTTTTGTTCAAATTTTTGGGTCGGGTTTGGGCCGGTTCTTTTCGGATCCAGGTTTTTTCGGATCTAAGATATTTGGATCTAAGAACCGGTCCAAACCCGATCCAAAGACCTGAACAAAAACACATTCTCTATTACATGATACAGATCCAAAAATTACCCATATTTTACACGTATTTTAATTATAGATCCGAACCGACTCCAAAAAAACGGTCTCAACATGAACAAAATATATTCAAACATTACATTTTTCATTCAAACAAAAAAACAATGTTTTTGTCACTTTAGTATATTCTTGAAATTCCTTAAAAATACACATACTAAATTTTCTTTGCTGGAAAAATTCATGAACCTTTTGGGTTTCCCAAAAAATACACATACTAATTTTGGCTGTCCATAAAATACATGGACTTTTGAATCAGAGTTAACGTCGTCTAACGGCGTCTAAATGTTCTGTTAATCAGAGTTAACGTCGTTAAAATTGAGGTGTGAAACCTACAAAATTCAAAAGTTCATGTATTTTATGGACAACCAAAATTAGTTTGTGTATTTTTCGGGAATTCTAAAAAATTGGTGTATTTTTTTAGCAAAAGAAATTCAATCCGTGTATTTTTAAGGAATTTTTCCTAGTGTTAAAACAGAAGAGACAATGGGACTCTGTGATTTTTGAGCTAAATAATTAAACTTCTTGAGACACGTCCTACTGCATAAAATGGGTTTGGTACGTTACACAACAATCTAGCCCAATAAGGGCCCGTAGTGCAGCCCACATAAGGTAGTCTAAGAGGCGCTATAAACGGCTAGTGATGAGATTGAGCAAGAGGAACCATACTGTTTTTTTTTTGAGCAACAAGAATCATACACATTATGCTGCTGTGTCTTCGCTTTTAGACATTTTTCCATTGTAGAAAAACAATTGAGAAAACATATACCGAAACTCTAGAAAGGGGCCAAACACAAGAAATCTGTAATTCCAAAGTTATCAGATACCTATTCTACATTTCCAACTAAATAGATCATGAGAATTAAGACCAGTGTCATCGGACTTAGTTAGAACATGGAAAATAAACACAAACTGAACCAGAGAACATAGGTAATGTGTATAAACAGAAGAGACCCCAACTGAATCAGTAGTACCAAGAATATTAACAGTTTAACAGAGAAAAGGAGAATTTTGTTTTCTGGAAATAAAAGAGATTCTAGTAGTGTCTCAAAGGTGCCAAAATGAGGAGTTTTTAATCACCCGATTACATTTAAACACAATCACAAAAGACCACAAAAGATTCAGTTTTGGTGCTCCCTTCTGATGTTTTTTAGACAATGGGAGGGTACTGCTTGGACTGAAGCTTAACCCTTTTCTTGTACTCAACTGCATCCTGCATATTTTACCATCAAAACTGAATCTCATCAACATCACTTTATTTTTAATGTTTCTTAAACTATGCAATCATAAGCGTTGTCTGCTGAGACTGTACCTGGATGAAGAGATGATAACCATCGGTCTGTGCAGGGTCAGCAGGATTAGGGGTGTCAAGTAAATCCTGAATACCGACAAGAATCTGCTTCACTGTGATGGCTGGTCTCCAACCCTATCAACGTAAGCAAATCAAACAGAGAGCTTGAGGATTAATATTTTGGTCACGGGAAAATGGAACGAAAGAACCAAAAGAGCACTTACGGAATCCTCATTAAGGATTGAAAGACAGACAGTCCCCGATGGATAGACATTAGGGTGGAAAAAGCCTTGTGGGAATTTGCATTTAGGAGGCTTGCTCGGATAGTCCTCGCTGAAATGCATCGTTAATGGAAAGAATCCACCTTCCCAATCAGTCTGTAGTGTCAAAAGTAAATTCGTTATGAATAAAAGGTTCAAGAATCATAACAGTAACTACTCTTATTAAACAACCATGTTGCAGAGACAGCAGAGTTCAGACAATGTCACTTCAAGACCAAAACTTTAATGTATCGAATTCAGAACATCACAGATGATATACAATCAAAAAAGAACAATGGGAAGAACAACCCACCTTAGCAATCAGTTAGCAAGAATAATACTAACCAAAGATTAGTAATTACTCATGTATAAAAATCTTTTATTAGCAATGAACAAGGTCGAAAAGCTAAGTAAGGTATACAGCAGAGAGTTATCAAAACAGCAACTTCAAGAACACATTTTGATGCACCAATTCAAGAACATCAACGATAAAGATACACATCTACTCCTTCCACTAGGCTTCCACAAAAGAAACTTTGGACTTGGAAGACATAAAGATTCAGAAAAAATGATAAACAACCCCGGAGCCGGAAGATCACAAAATTTAACCACAATCAGTCTATGGTGTCATGTAAAATTAGCAACGAATAACACTAAACGAATGATTACCAATTGTACATGTATTTAAAACTCTTACATGTACACAGCAGACAGAGTTCAGATTAAAAAAAAAGAAACATATAAGAGAAAACAAACATGAATCCCCAATTGGTGAAAGCTTCAGACTTGGAAGACATAAAGCATCGAAAAATGAAACATTTGATAAACCCTAAACAGGGAGAGACACTTACTCCGGCTTTACCAGGAATAGTACAATGCCACACCATTAGATTCACAGACCCATCAGGCCCAGTCTCCGGTTTCGCCACAAAACCCTAATTTCACAACCAACAAACACAATTAGAGACCCATAAACACATGCCCAATGATCAAAATTTGAAATTGGACAAGTATATAGAAGAAAACACGAACATGAGGATGATTCTTCCTCCACGATTTCCTCTCCTCCGCTAAACGACCACGAGCGATTCCACTAGCCATCTCTTTCTCTATATCTCTCTAACTAATCTCTGCTTCTCACTCTATGTCTTTAACTGCTCTCAAATCTAACGCTCTCTCTCGCTCTATATAATACTCGAAGAAGACGAGAGGGATTGGGGGAAGATGAAGACGCGAATTACAGATTTGCCCCCTTTAGTAAAGCGTAATAGTAGCATCGTACGGTCCAGATTTCGCAGTGAATAAATGTCCTTCTCGTCCTTTTGCTCTCTTTAATGAATTGACCGTCGATAATTATTTTAAAAAAATAATAATAAAAAGAAGAAAATGCGTAAAGAAAAAGTCAATGGATAGCGTGAAACCTACGCGAGTATATCAAACCCAATAAAGCTACCAAAAGATTCTCTCTCTTCCATAACTTATCCCATTTATCACGTGGCCCATATTACCAATTCTGGGCCCATTAATCTCCCTTCGATTATTTTCTTCTGTTACTGGTGGTGGTGGGTGCAGAATAAAGCATCTCAAAACAATTTGGTTGGTAAAAATAAACGAATGGTATATGATCAAAAGTGATTTATGTAATGATATGTTTGGTAGAAAAACGATTTTGTGGAGTAAAATGATTTTCCTTTTTTTGGCTTAAAGTGATTATAACTAAACTTTTGCCATGTACAAATTGCTGCGAAAGTGACCCATAGGTCATATAGCATATAGCATTTTGCTATCCCATTGTTTGTATACATAGCTAATAACATTATGTTAGCTTATATTCCCATGAAGGTTTTATCCGGTGCATATTCTTTCTTATTCTGCTGAAGATCATATGTTCCGAAACTTGTTAACTACTTTGTCTCCAACCAAACTTGTGACTATGAAAATGTGAACAAAGAAATAACATAGAGGACTAACTAACCAGAGCAGAGAACTTCAAAGCCACACACAGATACTGATTTACTAATTTCAAACAAATTGTCTTAGTAATGTTAAAAAAACAAACAAACATCATAATCATCAACAAACAAAAGAGTCATCATTACTTCTTAAATAAGCACAAACTAACAAGTCTGGAGAAATTTTCTTCAAGATGGGAAGCGAAAGAGAGTGCAGTTTTTTTTCTTTGAGCTCTCAGAGCATGCAATCAGTTCTTGCAGGAAGTCTCCTGAAGAAATTGAGAGGAACTGACGGTAGCCTGTACCTAAACCTCGGATGTCTCAGGACATAGATACCCACCAGAAGCGCCACAACCTGGAAAGGAGTCACATAGAGAACAACAGCAGCAATCAAACAGAACAAGACAAAGAGCGCTGTTGCACGAGGATCACGCCAGCTCAGTAAAGACTGAAGCCTCTCTCCTTGAGTTGCAAGATCACCAACCACAGTCTGAATCCTCCCAGCAATACTCCTCAACCTGTCATACCTCATCCTGACAATATCAGATGGTCTGGAAGTAGGAAAGGTGTCAAACTCTTCATCCAGCTCGTCAGGGTGAGCTGAGTCAGCGTGTGAGAGACGTGTGTCCATATGAGGAGGATGCCTCGGTCTCCAACGGTAGTACCAGATGCCTATAAGGAAGAGGTAGAGGAAGATGGTGGGCAAGATTAGCTCAGGATAGACCACCAGGATGATGAACAAGAGATGGATTAAGACTGTAGTGATTGGATTCTTCCAGTTACAGATCTGTTCAAACCATTTCCCCACTGCTATTAACCCACTCAATACTCCCATAATCCTGAAAAAGTTCGCTTTGCTTCTCCTCATACTCCACATGTGAGAGCCAACATCAAGCATGTACTCAACTACTTCCTTCCTTAGCGGTGGCTCTGCTCTTGTAAGCCTCATTGACACAATCTGAGTCGCTTGATGCCTCAAGTTATCAAGCTGGCTAACCGTTAAAGGATGGATGTAATGCATTTTCGGTAAAAGAGGAACCGAGTACATGTACATCATGTTGAGCAATGAGGAGCAAGTGAATCTCACAGCCAAATGAATCTCTCCCGTCTTCTTGACCCCATTAGGATGCAGCACCAAAAGCGGGTATGAATGTGTGTAGACACGATCAGTCTCGAGAGTAGAGAGACGGATTCTCACCTTCCCAATTCTTGAATCTTTAGCTCCACCGTTCTTCTCACCACCATGGAGATGACAGTTATCAAAAACACCAACAGTGACAACAGTACATGGATCAAAAACCTCCCAAGTGTATTGCTCGTTCCACCTCGGTGTAAAGCTGTCTATAATTGTCCGAGTTCGGATCCATTTCTGTCCATACTTCGCAACACAGTACGCATCAGTTGTTCCCCTACCATCTTTAGTCTTCATAGGCATCAGACCAGTCGCATTAAGTATCCCCAGTTCCAACACACCGATGTTAGGCTTCCACAGCTGCTTAGCCGTTGGTCTAAGATCACTACTGTAATGTGTAGACTCATCAAGAACATGGTACCCTCCTTCCAAGCAAATCCTCATGTGAATCCTGCTAGCAAACTTGATCTCCTTCTTCTCTCCATCGACCATTATATGCTTCTCGAGATTATACCACCTGCTGTTCACCGGCCTATGATCAAACCTCCTGTCCAAATGCTGCAACGGAATCGCACATCTCCCCAACACTTCATCTTTGTTCGGAGCAACTCTATCTTCCACACTGAGTATCAAAGGCTCCTCAAAAGGCTCAGCTGCTACAAACATCAAATCTTCATTCCACATGGGGTTAATAGTCCTGCTTTGTGACACTCTAGTCCTCAACGCTTGGTTCCCCACTATAGCCTTCACATAAACCTCAGGGTATCTACCTTTATCACTCGGTATCAAATCTTGAGCTTCAATGACATTAACCCTCACGTACCAAAGCTTAGGAGATAGATACACCTTGGAACGGATGTTAGCAAGAGCATCAGTACCACTAACTGTTGCAGCATCTGAATGCCAAGCTTCAGGGAAAGCTTCATCAGCTTGAGTACCAAACCAAACAGCAAGCATAAGCTCCCCTCTAACTTTCTCTCCTTTCCTATCTTCAAGCCTATACCACTGAGGCGCTAAGGGACTATCAGGAGGAACTCTCTTAGGCACCTCATTCAAATCAAACACAACCCGACCAATCAAATCATCTTTCACAACATCTTTATCCTTCACAGTAGCTTCAAGGAAAGAAGCTTGAATCCTATCTTTCGAAAAGGCGAAAACTTGGTTCCACTCTGGATTAGACTTCTTTTCGAAATGCCGTGTGGTTCCTTTGTAGTTTCCGAGCTTAACCTCAACGTAAGGGTCACAGCTACCGGTTAAGTCCTTACCGGGTAACTCCTTGGCCTTGACCACACGGACATAGAGATACTGCATTTGCTCAACGAGGTCATAAGTGCTGGTGAGTTTGTCTCCAGTGACTTTTCCACCACCGAGGTGAGGTCTTGTCTCCTTTAAGGAGAAATCTTCAGGAGGTGGTCTCTGCATCATGTTTTGCTAGAGAAAGACACTACACAAAAGTTCCAAACACAGTTCATTACTAAACATCCAACATTCGGTAGTTAAAAAAGGTAATAAAGATTGGTAGAGAGACTTACAGAGATTATGGGTTTTGAAGAGATGAATTTCAGCTACTACTACACTTCAGAGCACTAGATCTGAGACAAACAACACCATTTGTTAACGAATTAAAAAAAACTAACAGAGAAGAGTAAAGTGAGAAAAAAATGAGGAGAAAATAATAAATAAATCGAAGTTGAATTAAACAAAGATACTCAGAATATAGCATCTTGCATTTTCTAGATCATAAACAACCTCGTTAGCATCTCCGAGACAGAATCTAACGGCACTAAACAGTGAATCAACCCAACACTTAAAAAAAAAACATCTTTCAGTTCACTTCATCGAGAGTTTAAAATTAATTTTGTTGTTCTGAAAATTTGAAAATCTCAAATCTCTTTTACTTTGGTTACTTTGTTCTCGGTTCAATGTAAAATACAAACTTAAGTAAATCCATAGACATGCGAGAACAAAGCCGAATCCACCATTAACAAATATCTCAAAGGAAAAAAAGATCAGTAAAAGCAGTTATGCGATGATAATAGTGATAATAGTTTAGATCTGACAAAATACACACCTTAGATCTTCTAAAAAAGTAACATTCGAAAGCATGGATGAGAAGAGAAGTCCTACGCAGACGAGAAAATCTCCGTCCTTAATGAGTAAGGAGAGTGATGTCTTCTCTCTACTTAGTTCGTCTTCGTTTTAATCTAAACCCCCTCAATAAATAAAGGAACAAATAAAGATAAGACTAGTAAAAGCAGAAGATATGCATTACTGGGGAAAAGGAAATTTCTAGAGAGAAAAGAAATAACATTGAAGAGGAGGGAGAGAGAGACTTTAATTGGTCTCTTCTTCTTGTTCTGTTGTCGTCTTCTTTCCTTTGCTTTTTTCTACAGTTACTACTTTTTTTTTTATTTACTCGGTTAGGATCTGATGACTATACGAGAAAAGAAAAATACAGTAGAGAGACACACACATGGCACTGTTCGCTACAAAATATACGAGTGGGGTCCACGTAAAACCACGCAAGACATGCTTCTCTCCGTTTTGAATCCCACACGTGTGGTGCGGAGACAACGGTTCTTCAGCGTAACCTATTTTCTATAATAAAATAAAACTGAAATAATCCTAATGCTGTTATCTACGCGGGTCATTAGTGTACATAAGTGTATATTTGTATAATGCAAAATTATTTTAGTTTATGACAAGAGACAAGATAGAATTAACAAAAACAAAAAAATAGAATGAGAAATTAAGAAGCTTTACAAAAAAAGAGAGGAATTAAGAAGCAAAAGTCGTTGGATTCCTCAATGTTTCTGCATTCACCAGTTTTGCCGAAACCTTATGTAACGTTTATACAATAATGAATCTATTCTATTAAAACAGCAACATGACCAATTGATAAAAGTAGGATCCAATAATTATTTCAACAATACATACTTTTTATATAATAACTGCAATGCTCTTTTATTTTTCCAAGCAACCACCTTTCGAAAGTAACCACCACATATCATTTGCATAAGTTAAATTTTTGAGAGTAACCACCACATGTACACGGTTACACGTCTAATAATGATGGGCAAAAAATCTGATAACTGCATCAACAGATCTTAATTACTTAAACATTAAACAACAGTTTTATAAAGATGTGAATATTTAGGAAACCACAATTAATATGTGACTTCCGATTTTACAATTTGTTTTGTATTAATCGGGACCATTTAAAATGTATTTGCTGGACTTTACCACCATTTAAATTGCCTACTAATATATTTTCTGGACTTATACCATCATATTTACGATAGCTAATAAAACTTGATTTATTTAATATAAAATATTATATTTTTCTGAAACACTTATAAAATATTATCTATTCTATTAAATTCATATCATACAAAATATGATTATACAAATACAAAAACATATAAATTATATTAGGCAAAAATTTTAAAAACAAAAAAATATACCCGCCCTCGAGAGGGCGGGTCAATATCTAGTAAACCATATAAAGCCGTACTTCGCGTGGCTGGACCATGCCGAAACCTTATGTAACGTTTATACATTAATGAATAAACCATATAAAGCCGTACTTCGCTTTGGCTGGACCCGGACTGTTTGTTCACTTTGTTGTTTGTTAGATAAACGTTTCATCTACGGTCTCATTTATGTTACCTGGTGAACAGTAATGTTTTGTTTGTCAATTGTCACGTATTCACCTTATATTAGCCTAATTTTAACTTATGTTTACAGAGCTTATGGTGCTTGACTGACTTATAGCATGCAGAAAGTATAAAATACATAATATGGTCTAAAGGATGGATGATAAAAAAAAGGAATTAGTATATAAGTTGATCATTACTTCTTCACCAAACAACAAAAAGTGGTTATGTAGGACTTGTGTTTGTTTTATATAAATGATTTTTCTTTATGGTCGGTGTTATTTCACAAAAAGAAACATCATGATACCTTTAGGTGAAAACACCAAGAAGAACAAGAAAAAACAGGTGGAATTCAAGCTGCGTAATCTATTCTAAAATATAAAAACACTACTACAAGATGATAATTATGGATCTTGGTTAGTTTAATTTGGTAATATAAAAATAAATGGAGCGAGTGATATGTGTCTTTTTTTCTTTTTTTGTAACACCGAGTGATATGTGTCTCTAGTCAATTAAAATGCTAAAGATATATTCAGTCACATGCATTCTTTTTACCTGGCGCCTAAAGAAATAAAGGTGGATCTATAAGTTTAAAACCCTTCTGGTTAAGTGTTTTATGTGATTGGTTACTATAGCTGAAAATTTGAAAATCATCAAACACTTTCAGAGTTTTTGTTGTTATACAATACTCTCTTTTTCTAACAGCTAGATTGCACTAAAAGAAAAGAAAAATAGTTTACAGAATCAAGCTATATGACTCCAAATCGTTATACGGACAATACATCTATATCTGTCTATTTCCATTTGTCCGCTAAAATTATGTTATTACCTTATGAAACAAGGGTTGTGCATAGATAGTAGCTAGTTGTTATAATTTGTATAGCTTAATTGTAACACTATTGTTCGTTCTTAATTTTCCATCGTTATTTCTGTTTTCTTTGTTATATATACTCATCTTAGTAGGTACGTTTCTTGAGTGCCTAATACGTGGCGCCTTTGTTTATGAAGAGGCTATCTTTAACTCTTTTTCCGTTCTATCTTTACGATGTGTGCGACCAAAAAGTGAATGCTTCTTCTCCAAGTATCCAATATAATTTAATTAAAAGTATTATTCTTTATAAACTAATTAAAAGTTGATTTGGTTCTAATTAGGTTACACGGTAATACAAGTAAAATAAAGGTAAAAGAAAGAAAGAACGTGGTTTTTGATGCACGCAAGACGCAACGTGTCGGTCATGCTACGCTCATGTTTGTTGACCTTCCTCGACTAGGAGATTTGCCGTTTACCACTGACTACGATCACAATCAAAACCAATACTAACGTGTGATATGAAAGCAATTGTGCAAGATAAATCATTTTAAACAACACGCTATGGTACCTTGACAAAATATTAAATGGTAAGCCGTAAGCAGACTAGCACTAGCAGAGTAGTCTGATAGAACTTTTGCAAACAATTGTCCAAACAATAATTACGCTATTTAACGAGTTGCCTTTCACTTTGACCAAAAAAAAAACGAGTTGCCGTTCACATGTTTGGACTTGGAAGTTGGAATACAACTATGTCAACGTCTTATCAAAAAAAAAAACTATGTCAGACGCTCACGGCAATTGGAATTGGTATATTGTTCGTAGCTTCGATAATTCTATTATTATAAAGTAGAGTTTCCCTCATTTTCTTTATGCTATATCATTAAATAGATCCACCTTATGTCGACATGTGTCTAAAACTCAAATCTCATGCGTTTCGTTACGTGTTCTGTTAATCATTTGAGTTTCAAATTTAACCGGACATGCTTTATATCATCTTTTTTTCCAGCCCATTAGTCAAATATAACTTAATGAGTTTTTCTATTAGGCTTAGAATTGGGTTATTGTTCGTATGTATGGTCTGGGTTAATGTAGTTAGGGTTAGTGTTTCGGAACTTACGATCAAAACTCCTCGCCGTGTATGCTCTTCTTTGATTTGTCTTCCCGGCAAACGAAGAATCTCAAAACGTTACTGATGCTTAATCCAAGCGTCGTCTTTAAAGCAATCATGCATCCCCTTCATTCCCTTTCTCTAAATCTTTGACTATAAAAAAGGTAGACTCTCTACCGTGGAACTCATCAATTCAATCCTCTCGATCAGAAGCTTTTAAAAAAATTCAGTGATAAAAGTAGTTAGCTCCGCTTTCCTCCTCATTGATTCAAAGGAAACTGGCCGTTGTACCCCCACTATCAAGATTCGCCTCCCTCTTGCAATGATACGATCATTGAGTCCCGTCGCAACCTCCCTTTGCGTAAGATCACTATCTACCAACTCATTAAATTCCATATAGTTTTTACAAAAAAAACTGTCAATTGCTCATGATCCTATTTAGTTATTTGGCGTGAGAAATTATGCCTATTTGTCAGGGATTCAATAAATTCTTGCTAATAGATTCGTCACTGTAATTTCAGATTTGAGTTACTTTGACCATTCTTCTTATTAATAGATACGTGTTATAGGGTTGGTCAGTGTAAACAAATTTATTCATATGAGATGAATAATGGATCACTGAGTTTGGTCCAAGCTCTATATTTCTCTCCTCATGTTCTGATGTTATTTTTTTAACAGGAGCACTGGTGTGTGAGATGGGGATGCTCATATGGATATCCAAGCAAAATTGATGAGCCAAGATTTGGATAAGCTGAGCCACTCTTTATCGTTATTGCTACTTTATAAATCAGATAAAACACTTATGTAGGTATATTTATAGAATTATGTTAGTTTCAAGAGCTCAAGTGTA